ATGTGCCGTTAATTTGTCGATTCGCACAAATGATCAAATCCCGTCCTCAGCTGAACAGTGGCATAATTTGGGACTCCCTTCTTTATTCCGCATTCCCCCTCAACGAGAGACGGTAATTCAAAGTTTGATGCAAAAACGCATGATTACACCGACTCGCCTGGTGCATTACAGCCTGGGTTATGCGTTTTTGCTATGCAGCGCTATAGCATGATACAGCTAGCAAAAACGCAAATTGTCGAGAGGCTGTCTGTGTGTGTGTATGTGTTCGGAAGCGAGTGCATTTTGTCACCCACTTTCATCTCAGCAACCAGGAAAGCTGGGAGGCTGAATCTTTGTCTATATGTTCCTACCCCGTGTGTCATTCTCCCGTTTTAAGTTCTTTCTCTATACGTGCCTAGGACTCGCGTACAGGACCCCCAAAGAAATATGTTGGCGGGAAACGATTTCGCGAACTAGGCAAACTAGAAAGCTCAAACTTTGCAGGGATATTATCTATGCACATGCTAGCTAAGGATTTTAAACTCAGCCGTCGAACACTCCAAACACAGCCTCAAACAGCTCCACAACCCAAAAATCGTTCGCAACTCCGACCTGAACCGCAATGGTATATGTAAATGAACATGTATTTTTAAGCGTTTTTGCTGTGCAGCGCTACAGCAGCTACAGCCGGCAAAAACGCATATCGTCGAGAGGCTGTCTCTTTGTGTGTGTGTTCGGAAAGTGAGTGCATGTCATTCTCCCGTTTTAAGTTTTTTCTCTATACGTGCCTAGGACTCGCGTACAGGACCCCCAAAGAAATATGTTGGCGGGAAACGATTTCGCGAACTAGGCAAACTAGAAAGCTCAAACTTTGCAGGGATATTATCTATGCGCGTGCGAGCTAAGGATTTTAAACTCAGCCGTCGAACACTCCCCAACCACAGCCTCAAGCAGCTCCTGAACCCAAAAATCGTTAGCAACTCGGACCTGAACCGCCAATTGTTTATGCAAAAATGAGAACGCGTGGATTTTTTTGAAGGCTCGCCTGGTGCGTTCCAGCCTTTGTTAGCAATTGTATATGCGAATGAATGTGGATTTTTTGAAAAATTACCGTTCGGGCAATACTTTCAATTTTTCAATGAACTAAAAATTTGCGTATTTTCAAAAATTCGTTCACAGATCGGACCTCAACTG